ACTCTCCGGAATCCTGTGATTTTTAAGGGTGGAAAATAATTTTAGGAAATTTACAAAAAATTTGGCAGCATTTTGCCTCCCCCCCATTGGGATGGGGTTCGGGACGAAGTCCCTCAAATAGATATGCTGGAAGAGGAGAGACAAACAAAATAAATAGAAAGGGAAAAACGATTCCTATTTGATTTTCATATATTTATTTTAATTTTTGTCAATTTAATTAACAAAACTCAAATTTAAAGAAACTTTCAAAAAATTTTAGCAGCACTAACCCTCCCCCCGTGGGGATGGGGTTCGGGAGTTTATCCTTTGATTAACCACCGAAAAGGGAGCAAAGATAAAACGGACAAAGAAAATAGAACCCAAATTTTAATTAATTTTTAGATATTTATTTTAGTTTTAATTTATTTAATTAGCACAAAAATCAAATTAATTCTCTTCGTTTTCAGAGCGTATACCTTATGCACAAAAAACTAGATCTCCACAGCAATCACCACTTGCAAAATTTTGAGTTATAATTTTATTTAATTAGTCTTATATTTCTATAGCAGCATTAGGGTTTTACCCTAATTAGGGTTTCCCCCAATTAGGGTTTTGGGTTTTGCGCGCAGCCGCACGTGCACCGTAAACCCTAGATCGTCGCGGAAAATTTTTGCTAGGTTCTTTTAAGTTCAAGGAGAAAAGTTATCGGATTAGTTTTCTCTTATTTTTGTTTCTTTAGTTTAAAAAAATATACAAAAAAAATCTCAATTTCTCCTTATTTTTCTTTGCTTTTTGTCTCTGTTGGAGGCCGCCGCTCCTTCAAATGAAGTCCGTTTCCTCCGACCAGGGTCTCAAAACGTCGGGAAAATTGAACGGAACAACTTCGTTCCTGACGGACGTCTCCATATTGCACTCCGATTTCTTGTAATTTAATTGAAAGGAAAATTTTGATTTTTAAAATAATATTTCAAAAAATAAAGAAAATTTGGTGCTTTCTTTAGAATTTTATAAAAAAAGCACCAAAATTTCTTGAACAACTAAATTTCCGTTTTAATTTGGTCTCCATTTGGCCGTTAGAATTTTATAAAAAAAACACCAAAATTTTCGTCTTAATGAAAGGACAATTTTTGATCCGAAGACAGTTTACTAAAAAAAATCCGGATCAAAAGTTATCTGAAAAAAAAAGGAATTTCAAAAATAAAAAAAAATCAGCTAATAAAGTTTTAACAACTAATTGATTATTGGTTGTTTAGCCAGCGCAACCCCGTTTGATTGGGGAAGGCCAAGGCCTTGGGGGTGCAGTCCCCTCCCCGGCAACGGCGCCAAGGTTGTAAGGAAACCCGAGGAGGGGCGCCTACTGTTCGCTGAAGCCAGGGACCACGGCGCCTGTCACTCACCTCGCTCACATCAGAGGTCCTCAATGCCCAGTAGGGTGTTCCCCGCCTGTTGGATTCTCTTTCGGGGTTGATCTAGTTTTGCTCCTTCGGAGAACAAAATCAGCGGAAGAACAAGGTTATAATGTGGAGGGAGAAATAAATGAAGAATCTGGCCTGTTTATCTGACCTCTGAGAAGATTCGATTTACTAAACCATTCCGCTCAATCCTCATATTTGACCAGGGGATACCCTTGGCTCTAGCCTTGGAACCAGACAACCGATAGCATTAGGAGTAATCATTAAACGTTAGTAGTATCAAAGACAGTAAAATAATTCGAGAGGCTTCAAAACACAGGTCATTACTCTCCCCCTTATCTTCTCCGGCCCTTTGACCATAGCCTCTCTCCCCGGTGCGCGTGGTCTCAACTTTAACCGAGGGCGCATGTTATCCGCAAACCTCTTCCTTTCCAAATAAACCCTGATCGGACGATTCAGTATACGGACAATTTCATAAATTTCGAATAATGAACTCTTGATTGGATTGAGAACTAACAGCAAAACACAATGACCGCAACAATGCCTTTTCCTGGAGAATGAGCTCTTGATTGGACTGAGCGCTAACAACCAATAGGTAAACAACGCCAGTTCCGTAATAATCTCAAGAAATAAGCAATCACGGGTAAACAAAGATTCCATCCAAGGCTCCAACTAAGATAATTGGACGGGTGCGATTTATTATCAAACAAAGAGTCGATTCAAGAGCTTGATTCCGATCATAAGTTTCCCGTACCAATTTTCGAGTTCAATTTGCTAGATGGTCTGCGACCCATTTAACTCATCCGAATTTCAAGAAGCATATAGTCCAAAGGACAAGCTCTTCTTCTGAAGGGCAGTCAATTGGTTTATCAAGCTCGACCTGATCGAGCAATCCTTTTTGCACACCTCAATTCCAAAGATTTAGAAAGGAAATAAAATCTTTCTGCCTTTCTGAGTGTACAAGGTCACACATGCGGTGCGTAGCTATACAGGCTCGGCTGCAAGTGCATCTAATCCCGATTAGTTCATGCGATAAAACCCACTGGTCCAGCCCAGCGCAGTTTATTCCCTCTCCCAAATTCCCTGACAGTGAGCTTGTCGATGCGCGCGTGCGCACGAGCACCCTGATTCAGTCTCTTTCCCCTCTCCCCCCCGCTTGGAAGGGAGGGGAAGGAATGCTCGTTTCAATCCTGCCCCTTTATCGGGAACCAATGTTGTTCTGTTGCGCGCGCTTTCTTGCGGCGGCATGCTCCCGCATGGGTTGAGATTTGTCTCTCGCTACAAGCACTAAAATTAAAACTAATTAAATTTAAAAAAAAAATGACCGTAATCAACCGCCTAAGTGGCCAAGCTCAGATGCCGAAGAATCGAGAACGCCAAAACAGTTCCAAACTGTTTTATGGGTTATAAACGCCTTCCTTTGCATCGATTGTCACCGTCCCCTACCTTTCCCGCCATTGAGCAAACTGGTGTTAGCGTTAACTGTTTGAGTATGTCGTACCGTTCGAACGATAAAACAGATCCGGAGAGCAGCCAGCCACCCAGCCCTGTTCACTCACTTTCTCACGCTCTTCCCTTTCCAACTGGAACTGCAGGTCTGCAACCACTGATGTATTGACTTACCACATCACTTGAGT